CTCTATCCCCCTCTCCTCTCTCCCCTCCCTCTCTTCTCTCCTATCTCTCCTCCCTTTCTCTCGCTCTCTCCTTCTCTGCCTCTTCTCCTCCCTTCCCTCTATCCCCCTCCCGCTCTCTCTCCCTCTTCTCTCTCACCTCTCCCTCTCTTCTCTGTCGTCCTCTCTCCTTCTGTGTCTCCTCCCCTCTTTCTCCTCTCGTCTATGTCTCCTCGTCCTCTCTCTCCTTCTGTCTCCTCTCATCTTTCCTCTCTCCCCTCCCTCTCTTCTCTCCTATCTCTCCTCCCTTTCTCTCGCTCTCTCCTTCTCTGCCTCTTCTCCTCCCTTCCCTCTATCCCCCTCCTGCACTCTCTCTCTCTTCTTTCTCACCCTCTCCCTCTCTTCTCTGTCTTCCTCTCTCCTTCTCTGTCTCCTCTCCTCTTTCCTCTCTCCCACCTCTCTTCTCTTCTGTCCCCCTCTTTTTCTCTGTCTCCACTCCTCTCTCCCTCTCTCCTCCTTTTTCTCTCCTTCTTTCCTCACCCTCTCTCTCCTTCTCTGTCTCCTCCCCTCTTTCTCCTCTCGTCTATGTCTCCCCCCCCTCTCTCTCTCCGTCTGTCTCCTCTTTCCTCTCTCCTCTCCTCTCTTCTCTTCTGTCCCTCTCGCTCTCTCTTTTTCTCTGTCTCCGCTCCTCTCTCCCCTTCCCTCTCTCCGTCTCTCCTCCTTTTTCTCTCCCTCTCTTCCTCTCTTCTCTCTGTTTACTAACTCCTCCTAAAAGTTCCATGTTATGACATTAAACGTCCGTCTTGTATTTATTAATTTCGATTTACGGGATTTTCTGTTTCTCAAAAGTACAACAGTTCCTTCTGTGAATGGGGGCGACTCTCCACAGATCTGACCTGTTCCGCAGTGCACCTTTAAGCGGTGGAAGGAGACGTGCTCAGTTCCTCCATAAACAACAGTGTTTAGTTCACTACAGCCTGTGCTCCCTGATTTACAGCTCAGATCTGTGGAGGACTGAGAAAACGTCACTTAAATATGAATACTCAATTTCAAACTTATTAACAACATTTTAAACATTTTAAACATTACTGCATTTTAGGGGTGGGCGATATCTCAATATTTTAAATATATCGAGATTTTTTAAAACTTGATATGGATTCTGACATATCGTAAATATCGATATAATGTTTATATTCAATTCTGATTTTGCCGCTTTGATTGTTTGTCTTCTCTGTGGGCGGCGCCTCCCTGATTTTGTTGCTCGTGTTTCATTCTCTCCTCACTGTCGCCGTAAACGCCCAAAGTTGGTGCCAGTGAAAAGCTTCAAGCGCCACAAACCTTTTCCACCATTTACAGACAAAACCACCAGCAGCACATCCTCTGTCACAGAGAGAACACTCATATGAACACTGAGTCGTTTCCTTTAGTTTGAAAGACGCTGACCTGCTTTAGCGGCATGAGGAGTGAGCTGTTTATGCAAATGAGTCATGCGCTTTTAAGTTTTGTTTCTGCAAAACATAAACACATGTCAAAACTGCATTAAACACATTATTATCTGAAACGGGCTGATGTGGCTCTAGAGTCGTTATGTTTATATGTTGTAAAGTTTAGTCATGTAAAGTTTATTTATGCAAAAGATTTTAATGAATAATGTGCAGCAGTGTCACTTGTACAATAGTGTTTGGAAACGTTTGAGGTGCCTGGGCTGAAAATTGTGGGCTTCCTCAGAGCTCCTCACTGCTGCTGAGGAACATGGATCTGTTAAAATAATGAAGGAACTTATGGTTCTGGTTATCGTGTGGTTTAACAGAGTTAATGTAAAGATGAACTTGTGTTGAGTTGTTTTATTTATGAATGAAAAGAAGGAAATATGTATTATTTCTTTTATTTTACAGTTAAATTATTATTTATGTAATTAAGGACTTTTCGTAAGCTTAAATGTGGCAGAAGAACTTTGTTCCTACATGAACTGTCGACCTCTCGCACTTCAATAAAAAAAAGACCTTGTGGAATTTGGCAGATTTGTTTTTGCAGTTTTCTCTTTTTTAGACGGTTATTTTTTCTTGTGCAGATATCGAGATATATATCGTATATCGAGATATAGCAAATATATCGAGATATATATCATATATCGAGATATATATCGTATATCGAGATATATATCGTATATCGAGATATAGCAAATATATCGAGATATATATCATATATCGAGATATATCGTATATCGAGATATATATCGTATATCGAGATATATATATCGTATATCGAGATATAGCAAATATATCGAGATATATTTTTTGATCCATATCGCCCAGCCCTACTGCATTACTTAAAATGTAATCTGAATACAGTAATCCCTTCGTCTAAAGCCACTGACCAACACTGCTCCTCCCCTCCTCCTCTCCTCCTTTCATCCTCTCTCCTCTCTCCCTCTTCTCCCCCTTCCCTCTCTCCCTCTTTCCTGTCTTATTTTCCTTTTTTCCTCCACTCTCACTCTCCCTTCCACTCTCTCTTCTCTCTCCCTCCCCTCCCTCCCCTCTCCTCTCCTCTCTTCTCTCTCTCCCTCTTCTTCGTGTGATGAATAAGTGATGTTTCTTTGGCTGTGTTCAGAGCGGCAGCACCAGGTGGAAGTTGATCTCCGCTCAGAGGAGATGAGAAACTGGAGCTGAGGGTTTGGGGCCCTTGTATCACCTGTGTTTGTGTCCTTTCTCTGCCGCCGCCGCTGCATGAATAAATCATCCTCATCGGCAGAGTTAAAGGAGCGCTACCTGATTTTTAACTCTTTTAAAAACCTCAAAAACACAACTCGAACATTTTAAACTTACTCCTCACTTACTTTAGATCAGGAGTGTCAGACTCATTTTGGTCCGGGGGCCGTATCCAACCGACTTTGATCTCAAAGTGTCCGGATCAGAAAACTCAGGTCATATAAACCCCAAAAATAACAATAAGTTCAAATATTTGTGCAGAGAAACACAAATCTATTACAGAAATCTTTTTAATTTATGAACTCTTTCTTTAACAAAATATTATAATATTATGATTGTTGGACATTTTTCTGATGAGGGTGTCAGGTCCAACAGTCAAAACGATCGTCCTTTAAGAGCGTTTGGAAAGAGACAAGTCTTCATTTGTGCTGCTCTGGTGGGAGGGGCCACGTACAGAGACGCTGGAGACGCTGCTGTGATAAACACCACAGAAAATTAATAATATTTTAATAGAAAATATAATTCAAATATTTTAGTAGAAAATCAGCCGAGGGCCAGATTAAAGGTCTTGGAGGGCCGGATCTGGCCCCCGGGCCGCATGTTTGACACCTGTGCTTTAGGCAATCAGAACATCATCATTTTTTCACTTTTTCACAACTTACAGAGTTTTGCCGTCATCGTAAAGCCAAAAACGATTCACGCTTACCGGAAAACATTTGAAAACCCGCGGACGACGACTTCCGCTGTAAGTTCCCGACACTGGGCTTGTTAAAAAACTGTGGATTAGAGCTGCTAAATTATGGAAAAAAATTAATATCACGATTATTTTAGTTAATATTGAAATCAGGATTATTCAAACGATTATTTTTTAGTTACACGATGCATTTATTCAGCATTTCTCTCTCAAAAAAACACTTTACAAAAAACACTGTTATTAATAATTTACGCCAAACTTACAAATTGAAAATAAATATCAGATACGAACATTGTTGGGAAGGTTATTTTAAAATGTATTCCCCTACAGATTACAGATTACAGATTACATATTCCTATATGTAGTTTGTAACAGAATCCATTAAATTACTCAAAGTGAGTAATGTAATCTGAATACTTTGGATTACTTGATATTGTCCTGTTTTTTAAAACTACATGAATGTAACAACCACATCCTGAAAATTCTTGTTTGTTTTCTTTAAATTGTCTGTTGAGCCCAAATCTCCATGAACAGACTTTTGTTTTACTGTGGAGAAACAAAGACGAGGATCTGAACATGAGATGTTTTATCTGCTAAAAGAAAATAAAAAGTCCAGACTTTCCTTAAGAAGATTTAAAATATTATTGATAGAGAAAAGATTTTTATATGAGACACTGCTGCATTAAATTATGTTCACACTAATGTTAGGGTCATATTGTTTAGACCTGGTTTAGTCCTGGTTTAGTCCTGTTTAGTCCTGCTTTTAGACCTGGTTTAGACCTGGTTTAGTCCTGGTTTAGATCTGGTATAGTCCTGGTTTTAGTCCTAGTTTAGTCATAGTTTAGTCCTGGTTTCAGTCCTACTTTTAGACCTGGTTTAGTCCTGCTTTTAGTCCTGGTTTTAGTCCTGGTTTAGACCTGGTTTAGACCTGGTTTAGTCCTGGTTTAGTCCTGGTTCAGTCCTGGTTCAGTCCTGGTTTACTCCTGGTTCAGTCCTGGTTTAGTCATAGTTTAGTCCTGGTTTCAGTCCTAGTTTAGTCCTGGTTTTAGTCCTAGTTAAGTCCTGCCTTTAGTCCTGGTTTACTCCTGGTTTAGACCTGGTTTAGACCTTGTTCAGTCCTGGTTTAGTCCTGGCTCAGTCCTGGTTTAGTCCTGGTTTAGACCTGGTTTAGTCCTGGTTCAGTCCTGGTTTAGACCTGGTTTAGTCCTGGTTCGGTCCTGGTTTAGACCTGGTCCAGTCCTGGTTTAGACCTGGATTAGTCCTGGATTAGTCCCGGTTTAGACTCCCCCTTGTCCCCCATAAATAAATAAAACCAAGCAAAAAACTGAACTTAAATATCTTTTGTGTAATTTATTATTTAACTTTGCACGTTCTTTTTATTCTTTTAGATGAATTTCACATTTAAACTTGTCCATCCACCTTTTCAATACTTTTAAAACAAACATTTTAAAAGTGTAAAAACAGATTGTCTTTGCAGTATTCCACCACTTAATGGCGCTCTAACACAACTTTAGGTTTGGACCACAAAATTGAAGACTGAACTCTTATCTCTTGAAGAAACAGTCATTTAACAGCCATTTTTTTTAGCTCATCTGTTTTTTTTCATGTTCTTGTTTTTCCAGGTAAAAGAGGTTTGCAAAAATTGTACCTGTCATTCCGGAGAGGAGACGGCGAACAAAAAAACGAAGATCCCCAAGATCTTTTTTGGGACTCGGACTCACAAACAGATAAAGCAGATCGCGCACGAGCTGAAGCGGACGCAGTACTCCTCCACGCCCATGACCATCCTCTCCAGCCGCGACCACTCCTGCGTCCATCCGGAGGTGGCGCCGCACGCGAACCGCAACGAGCGCTGCAAGGACCTGCGGGAGGGCAAGGACGTGAGTACAGACTGACCGCCGCGATATTTTACCACATTTTAAACTCATACTAGGACTAGAAGTGCTCAGGAAAGCTCTAATTTTGTCTTGTTGTGATTTCTTTGCCGTTCCGATATTTGCTGGTTCCGAAACTAGTTTAAGTATCAATTAATATCTGATTTACGATATTTTTCACAACCCCAGTACAGACAGTGTATAGAGGCTTTGCACCGTCACCTGTCCCCATGGCAACAGTACCTACGCCGCCATGACACCGAGCAACACTATGTCATTGACTTCAGCAGCATCGGAGAAACATGGGCAGGTTTTGTTGTGTATTTGGTTGTTCCAGACCACAGGTGTCAAACATACGACCCGGGGGCCAGATCCGGCCCTCCAAGACCTTTAATCTGGCCCTCGGCTGATTTTCTACTAAAATATTTTAATTATATTTTCTATTAAAATATTTGTTAATTTTCTGTGGTGTTTATCACAGCAGCGTCTCCAGCGTCTCTGTACGTGGCCCCTCCCACCAGAGCAGCACAAATGAAGACTTGTCTCTTTCCAAACGCTCTTAAAGGACGATCGTTTTGACTGTTGACCGTGACACCCTCATCAGAAAAATGTCCAACATGAGAAAAGTGGAGCCGAGTGCAGGATTCTACAACAAAAATGGACTTATTCCTATTTACAGACAAGTTCATGTTAAAACATTGTGTTGAAATTACATTTTCCTTAAAGTTTCAGGTTGTTCATAATATTATAATATTTTGTAAAAGAAAGAGTTCATCAATTAAAAAATATTTCTGTAATAGATTTGTGTTTCTCTGCACAAATATTTGAACTTATTGTTATTTTTGGGGTTTATATGACATGAGTTTTCTGATCCAGGACCCCTTTGGGATCAAATTAGGTTGGATACGGCCCCAGACCAAAATGAGTTTGACACCTCTGGTCTAGACGCTCTGAAAGGGATAAAACGATTTGTTTTTTCACTGTTCCTCTGGAAATGACTCATCAGGATCAAACAAGGGAATTATCGAAAAAAAGACGGGAATTATGTCTAGAGAACATAAACCGCGAAGAGATTTCCTATGGTCCCATCAAGACACACTCACGTCACTTTCATCAAGGTATTTACTATTTAAATTGTTTCATAGTTTATTTAATGAGAGAAGCACATTTACTGAACTAAAATGTAAAAAGAAAACATTTGCAGTGTGAGTGGCAGTAGAAACTGTATCTTCCAGCACATATAAACATGTCACTCGTCGTAGGACCATGTTTTCTTTATTGTCTTGTTTATCCACAACTATGTCTTCTAGAATTAATCTCTTTTTGTGAGTGGATCTTTCTAACGTTCGCGAGGATCTTTTCATGGTCGATTCTTTCGAGGTTCGGCTCACAGACTCTTCGACTCGTGCGTCATGTTGATCACAGGAGCCCAGTATGGGTTTGTTGAATCGTAAACTAGTGCGGGTTTTCCTGGATAAATTCATTACATTTTAGTTCAGTAAATCTGCTTCTCTCATTAAATAAGGTATGAAACAATTTAAATGGCAAATACCTTGATGAAACTTCAGGTGTCTTGATGGTACCATAGGAAATCTCTTCGCGGTTTATGTTCTCTAACCATAATCCGTGTCTTTTTTTCGATAATTCCCTTGTTTGATCCTGATGAGTCATTTCCAGAGGAACAGTGAAGAAATGATTCTTTTTATCCCTTTCAGAGCGTCTAGAACAACCAAATACACAACAAAACCTGCCCATGTTTCTCCGATGCTGCTGAAGTCAATGACATAGTGTGTCTGGTGTCATGGCGGCATAGGTACCGTTGCCATGGGGACACGTGATGGTGCAAAGCCTCTATATAAGATTTTCAGAGTTCCCACGATCATGGAAATCCAGGAAAAGTCATGGAATTTTAGTATCTCTTTCATCTCTCTTTCTCATTAGGTTATTCTGATTATTTCTGAATGTCTGCACCTTTTGTTTAAAAGAGACAAAAATAAATGCACTGACAGGATTTTGAATGTTAAAAACTATAATCCCAAACCATAAGGTGAGTCAATTCTACACATGTAGGTGCCGTAAAGTCATGGAAAATTCACTTCAGGTCATGAAAAACTCTTGGAAAATTTTTGTCACAGAGTGTTCTCTCAGAGGGATGATGATGATGATGATGATGATGATGATGATGATGTTGATGTTGATGATGATGTTGATGTGATGATGTTGATGATGTTGATGATGTTGATGATGATGATGATGATGATGTTGATGATGATGATGATGATGATGTTGATGTTGATGATGATGATTGTGTTCTGTGTGTGTGTCGTGTTGGAGATGGTTCATGTTTTCAGAGATCAGACGTGTGCAGGTTTAGAGCAGCTCTTTATTTAACATCATTTCACTTTATTTATGTCGCTTCTGTTGTGATGAACAGACTGACACATGTGAATTAACTTTACATCGCAGTAACTGGGATACTGCGTTTACATGGCAGCACGGTGGCTGAGTGGCTAGCACTCATGCCTCACAGCAAGAAGGTTCTGGGTTCGATCCCCTGGGTCGCCTGGGCCTTTCTGTGTGGAGTTTGCATATTTCTCCCCGTGTCTGGATGAGTTTCCTCCGGTTTCCCTCATCAACCCAAAACATGCTCCAGGTCCATGAACAGTTAATAGTCAAGGTCAGTTAAATACATTCAATTCAATCATTGTGTCCTTAGGCAAGACACTTCACCCACATTGCCTAGTATGAAAGTTGTGTGTGTGTGAGTGATGGTGGTGGTCGGAGGGACCAATGGCGCCGATTGGCACGACAGCCGTGCTTCTGGCAGTCTGCCCCAGGGCAGCTGTGGCTACAATAGTAGTTTACCACCACCAGGTGTAGAGTGAATGAATAATGCTGAATAATGCTCTGTAAAGCTTCTTTGGGGACAGAAAATGTCTGTGAAAAGCACTATATAAATATAAACTTACTTACTTACATGCTTACAGACTCCAGACACAGCCTCATCTCCTCACGCTACACACAGCAACATACACTCAGTTTGTTGATTAAAAATGAACGTGATTGATGAAATTCTTAATGATCAATTATCGATTAGTCGACTAGTCATGCCCATCCCTAATCTGAACGGTCTCTCCCTAAACCCCAGAGCCTGCAGCGAGTCATGAGTCAGTGCAGCCTCTGCAGCTCAAGGAGGGAATTCTGGAGGTTCTGAGTTTCACATGAGACCTGAACATAAACTGAGAATGAGACAAACTTGCATGTGTCTGTGTCTCTGTCTGCAGGTGAAGACTCTGGGGACACAGGTTCAGTTGTGATTGCAGCACCTTTGTAGTTTAGATCTACACAAACATGTTGTGAAACGTGACTCTTGTATTTGTCAGTTAAAATTTCCAGCTTTTTGTCAATTCTTTTGGACGTGTTTTAAAAAAAGAAAATAGCAAGTCTTAGAAAAGTTGCATTTTTTTGGCATTTGTGCAATAAACTGAATATGTACAAGCCAAACTCATCAGTTTACAGTTTGACAGCATGTGGTTTTATTTTCGTGTTCGTAGAATAGTTTTGCCCGTGGCCCCGCCCTCGTCATGTTCCACTCGAGCCCGTCGCCGTGTGATGGCGGCTGCAGGGCTGGGCCTCTTCACCGCTGAATGTCTTTGGGAAACGGTGATACTGTATTCTCTGTGTTCTTTAGTGCTATAGTCGTCCCGTCTATTGTGGCTCTGCTCTGACACTTATCCCCAGTGTGTCTCCTCCCATTATAAACCCCATTATAAACCCCATCATAATCCCCATTATAACGCCTGTATCTGATGTACTCCGTGTGATTAGGCTGTCAGCGCAGGTGCCTGTTGAAGGTCCCACCCTCTCACCGTGACACCTCGGGGTGCCACAGCTTTGTACAGACGAGCACATGACCTTTATCTCAATAAGAGCGGAGATAAACCTGGAGAGTGAGGCCCTGACCCTGTCTGTGGGCTGTGGGGATTAGACGGGTCTCAGAGACAGCCTGTCCAACACCAGTTTAACACGGACGACTCTTTTGTCACTGCGGTCTGATGTGGTGCTCTTCAGTTTTCAGCAATGACAATGATGCCAGTCACAAATACTCCAAGGCCTGGAGTGGTTTTGGACCGGAAATATCCTGTCGTAATCAGATAACCCAACAGATCTGATATTAGAGTGAGTTTACAGCGCAAGAGAAATCTGATCATCAAAAACGCCCCGTGACACGTGTCAGTTTTAAAAGTTTCAAGGTTTAGACATGAAAAAATACACAGCACACTCAGATGTCCATTTTTAAATAAGGTTTTGTCAAAAAAAGCCTTTGTTGGATCATTTTTCTTGCTTTGGATCACAGTACATTGGTCTACATCTGAGTTTGCTGTGGATTTTTTCACTTTTTTGTTTCTGTTTCATTTGATTATTATACAAGTTACCCAACATTCTTATTTATCTTTCCATTTTCTTCCATCTGGGGCTGGGTTGCAGAGGCAGCAGTCTGACACTTCCTCCAGCTCCTCCGGGAGAATCCAAAAGCGTTCCCAGGCCAGTCCAGATACATAGTTCCTGTGATGGAAATTTATATTGTGGAAAGATTTCTCTCAATCTGTCTATGTGTAAATGAATGTGATTTCTACCTTAGACCAGATCATTCATTAACGTGTAAAAGCTCAGCAGACACAAATTTATAGTTCTGCTTCGACTTAACGCACACTGCCGCCGTCGCCTTGTCACCGTCGTTTTTGATTTATGGATCTGGAGGTCTGTGCACCGGACATGGATTTTGACATATTGTATATATCGGTTAGGGTTGGGCATGATTAATCGATAATTGATCATTAAGAATTTCATCGATTACGTTCATTTTAATCGACAAACCGAATGTAGGTTGCTGTGTGTATCGTGACCAAACAGGTGTGTACATGTGTCTCTGCATCAGAAGGAGCGAGACACAAACAGTGGGTCAGTCTGTAACGAACCGAAGCACAAATGTGGATTTAACGATGATTTGTACAAGAAAATCCACACTTTCCGTTGCGTTGGGACAAGTGTGAGTCCATGTGCACAGTGTATAAAGCAGCACATATGTTTCTGTGTCCAGTGGGAAAAAGTTTTACCAGGTGAGAGTCGCTCAATGTGGATGACGAGGCCCCGCCCCCCTCCCCCCGTACGCTGTCCTGGTTTTGACAAACACAAATCTGGTCACACTGACCTGTATTCACCTGAGTCATGTCTTTTAATCCAACACAAGTTGAACCACATCAGCGACACAAGAGCTGGAGTTTTATCTTCGCTGAGTTTATGTAAATTAGTGATGTGGTTTTAAGTTTCGTTTCTGTGAGAGTTGAACAAAACTGAATTAAACACATTATAATGTCAAATGGGCTGATGTGGCTCTAGAGTCGTTACGGTTTATTTGTCTTAAAGTTGAATTTATTTATGCAGATTAGTAGTGCAGATAGTAATAATAATGATGATAATTTTAATATGAAACCATTAATGATTAATCGATAATCGATCGTTAATTCTTCCGACGATCGATTAAGACAATTTCATCGAATGCCCATCCCTAATATCGATATAATGCTTATATATCGATATAATGCTATATATCGATATAATGCTTATATATGCACTCGTCCCCGCGCGCCCCCATCTCCTTGATTTTGTGACCCCTCCCCTTATGTGTCGTCTCAGTCACTCCTCACTTCTGCCTGTGAACGCCGAAAGTTGGTGCCAACCAAAAGCTTCTAGCGTCACAAACCTTTTCCACTATTTACAGACTCATATTCCACTGAGTCGTGTCCTTTAGTCTGACAGAAGCTGAACCACATCAATGACACAAGGAGAGAGCTGTTTTTTTGAGCGCTTATAGTTTATGCAAATGAGTCATGTGGTTTTAAGTTTCATTTCTGTAAAACGTAAAACAAATGTGCACAAAGCTGAATTAAAAACATTGTAATATCAAACGGGCTGATGTGGCTCTAGAGTCGTTGGTTTATATACTGTAAAATTTAGTCATGTAAAGTTTATTTATGCAGAAGTTTTTAATCAATAATCTGCTGCATTGTAACTTGTACAGTAGTGTTTGGAAACGTTGGGTTTGATCTGCAGTGGATTGTGGGAAACCTCAGAGCTCTTTATGCTGGTCAGGAACATGGATCTGTTAAAATAAAGAACTCTCGTACGGAACAGTTAATGCAAGTTAATGCAAAGATGAGCTTGAGTTGAGTTGAGTTGTTTTATTTTTGAACGACAAGAAGGAAATATGTATTATTTCTTCCCTTATTTTACAGTTAAGTTGTTATTTTTGTACACAGGGATTCTTTTTTAAATGTCACAAAAGCACTTTGTTCCTAAGTGAACATTGTAGAATTTGGCGTTTTTGGAGGATTATTTTTCCTGTATAAATGTTGAGATATATATCGTATATCAAGATATATTTTTTGCTCCATATCGCCTGGCCCTACACCTTGACCACACATTTTGACCTCAAGAGCCTCTTCTACAAAATACCTGCACTGAGGCAAGACAAATTTAGCTCAAATACATGGGAAAAAATCTGCTAGAGGCTCTTTAAAGTGTTGTCATAGATGGATAGGCCTCTTTTCAGCTCATAAATCTGTGTTGGACCACATATGACGGCGATGAGACCAAAGCCTCTCCTCAGGCCACTTTAAATACATGATCCCTCGCCCTTTCTCTCTCCGTGGGGTGAACACCGGGCCAGCTGAGCATTACAAAGTGAATCCACCACTCTCTACCCCAACACACTTGAACTGACAGGATAATTGTGCTCATTACAGAAGGCGCCTGGGCTCTGGGACTCTGTGGGGGGCAAACAAGTGTCCAATGTCCCAACTAAAGAGCTTTCAATGGGTCTGTGTGGAAAAAGGACCAGGACCAGCACCGGTATAATCGCTTACAGTTAATGGCGGGGTTGAGTTACATAGACACAGGAGTTTCGAACAAAAGGAGGCCACAGAGAGGTGAAAGGTTGGACAAGAAGTTAACTGTAACCTGTAATAATGCTCTACAAGGGAATTTGTTCCATTTTATCACAGTGTGGGACTTGTGGGATGTGTTTAAAGGGCCCATATTACGCTATTTTCTGATCTAAAATACGTTATAATGTCGTTTCCTCGTCACAAACAGACCTGGAGTTGTGTTTTGTTTCATTCACACATTTAACTCACAAATCCTTTAAATTTAAGATGTTTTTTTGACGCTTTCACTTCTACGGGTGTGCAAAAATACTGAAAAATCGATATATTGTGTTGTTTAATGTGATGATACAGTACCGATATCGTTTGCTGCTGTGTCGATATATCGCCAAGACTATTTTTTGGTTTATTTTTACAAAATTATTTTGTTACAGCTACAGTTTTGTTGTTTGTTCAGTGGAAGGAAACTCGTTTATTCGACACATTTGACATTTTTTGTTGTTGTTGTTTTGTTTGCGTTTCATATGAATTTTGCACAAGAAGTGGTTTAACAAAGACTTTTAGTATCACAGAAATGATTTAGACTTTATTTTTACTGAACCGTATCGAATCATGTTGAAATATATCGTATTGAATATCGAATGTATCGATGTATATGTATATGTGTATGTATTGAAGTATGTATTATATCGTGGCCTATGTGTATCGTGGCCAATGTATTGATCGTATTTTGATATATCGTATTATCGTGGCCTGTGTATCCAGATATATATTGTATCGTGGCCTGTGTATCGAGGTATGTATCGTACCGTGGCCTATGTATCAAGATGTGTATTGTATCAAGATTGGTATCGTATCGTAGCCTATGTATTGAGATGTGTATCGTTTTGTGGCCTATGTACTGTATCATGGACTATGTACCGTGGCCTATGTATCATATTGTGGCCTATGTATCGAGATATATATCATATCGCGGCCTATGTAACGAGGTATGTATCGTATTGTGGCCTATGTATCTAGATAAGTATTGTATCGTGGCTTATGCATTGAGGTATGTATCGTATCGCGGCCTATGTATTGAGCTATGTATCGTAGTGTCGTGGTTAGGGAGTTTCTCCTGTGGTGCGGTGTAGCAGCTCAACAGTGCAGTATGTGATGATATCACACCCCCCCCCCCACCCCACGTCCCTGCGTCCCTGCTTGTTGCAGATGCACATGTACCTTGGATGTCTTGTGGATATAGTGTGTGTAGAGTGTGTGTAGAGTGTGTGTAGAGTGTGTGTGTAGAGTGTGTAGAGTGTGTAGAGTGTGTAGAGTGTGTAGAGTGTGTGTAGAGTGTGTAGAGTGTGTAGAGTGTGTAGAGTGTGTAGAGTGTGTAGAGTGTGTAGAGTGTGTAGAGTGTGTAGAGTGTGTAGTGAAGTAACATTTGGCTTTGGAACAAGTGCCACTGCATCTCCCAACTCTCACTGCGCCGGGTCGGGTCAGAGTCCTGCGCCGGGTCAGGTACCCGCGGACTTAAGAGAGAGAGAACCTGAGCACGCGGAGCAGGTGTCCGCAAATCACGATCAGGTGACGGCTGCACTTGCCTCCGTGCGGCATGGAGCTCTGCGCGCCGCCTGCGGTCACCAGACGGTCTACGTGGGTGCACCTTAGTCCTGGGTCAGTCCTGGGTCAGTCCTGGGTCAGTCCTGGGTCAGTCCTGGGTCAGTCCTGGGTCAGTCCTGGGTCAGTCCTGGGTCAGTCCTGGGTCAGTCCTGGGTCAGTCCTGGGTTATCACCACACGGGCGGTGATGGGTGGAATGTTAACGGGTCCGGGCGGGTGCGGGTCTCTAAAAATGGACCCGTGTGGGACTCTGGGTCGGGTCACGTTGTCACGTGCGGCGATCACGGTGGCCCAACATGCACGTGGTGGGCCTCTTAGTATCGTGGTGGTTCATTTTTGCGGTTATTGCGACAGCCCTGATGTATCGTATCGTGGCCTGTGTATCCAGATATGTGTCGTATTGGCAACTTCTTTATGATATTCAGTCCTAATCTCTAGTACTTATAACCTTATTACATTGTAGTAAACAACTTATTTTACACCGTCTTTTCTCCTCTGGGTTGACTCTTGTTTTTTCTCGTCAGGGTAACTGTCGTTTCTACCACAACGTCCAGAGGATGAGGGACCAGTGGACTCTGCAGAGGGTCCACGGACTCAGCCAGGCCTGGGACATCGAGGAGCTGGTGTCTCTGGGCAAACGGATCAGAGGCTGTTCTTATTACGCCGCCAGAGAACTGATGCAGAGCGCCAACATCGTCTTCTGCCCCTACAACTACCTCCTGGACCCGCTCATCAGGGAGAGTGTGAGTAAACAACGACAAAACCAGGATTATTTGGATCATAATGGAAATAATGTTTGTTTAACTGGACAAAAGAATAACAGGAGGGTAGGGCTGCTAAAATTATTATCATGATTCTTGTAGAGAAAATATAGACCTAACTTATTTTACTAGAAATGTTTTGTGACACATAACAAATGAATACCGTATTTTCTGGACTATAAGTGGCACTTTTTTTTCGTGGTTTGGGTGTTTCCTGCGACTTCTATATTGAAATGTTTGAGTGAAGTGTGGAGAGGTTCTAGTCTTGTGTGTGAGTATCTGCTGCTCCTGTCCCTCCTGTACCACTGTCACTTGGCTCTACTGCGCATGTCTCCTGCAGAAAGAGCCTCTGTCCTGTCTGTATCATGTCAGTCGATCGCACCGTTACTTCTGCACCACTGAACAATTTAACATTTAAACAAACTGATAAAGACGACTGAGAAAACTGAACACAAATGCCCCTACAAACAAAATCAGATTTTGCAGATTACAAACTGCAAGTCATGAAATCTGCAGCTGACAACGATAATCGAGCAGCAGAAAGAAAGTTTGGAGTGAGAGAGAAAAATGTGACACCGGGAGGATGCACCATGAAACTTTCCTGAAGTCACTGGATGGATGGACAAAGTCTGGACTTCAGTGACACCGAAACCATCCTGTCGAGATTCAGAAAGACCAGAATAATTCTAACTGGAACTGATGCTGAGTCTGAGGACAGTGACACAGAAGAGGAAGCGTCGCTCTGTTTACCTCCGGAGGTCGAGGCCGAGTTGTTCAGAAGTGACACCGAGGATGAAGAATTGAATGGATTTATTGATTTGGAGTGAGATGGAGAGTTTGGTAAACTTGTTCTGTTGTTTATGTTATAGTTTATCTGAAGAACTGTTCATATGTGACGTTAACAGTCTGTTGTTCTCTCTTCTAGTGTTATTTCTAAAGCTTGACTTTACACAGGAAATGTCTGCTCCTGGTCTCTCATTTTATAAAATAAATTTCCCCAAAAAGTGCAACTTATATATGTGTTTTTTTCTTCTTCATTACGCATTTTTTGGCTGGTGCAACTTATACTCCAGTGCGACTCAGAAAAATAGGAAGTAAAGTTACAAACCCAAATTGTCAAACTAGGGAAATCAATGCAGGATTTTTAGTAATATCTCAAAAAACATGGATGTTTTCGTGAAATGAGTAGTCTAATATGCATATGCTTTAAGTTTGTGTTCACACTTGCATGATTTTGTCCTTGGTTTAATCCTGGTTTAGTCTGGTTTTAGTTCTGGTTTAGTCCCAGTTTTGATGTGGCCTTTGCGCTCCTTAAATCAGCATTCTTCTCTGATATTTCTTCCTTGTGTTGTGTTTTAGATGGAGATAAACCTGGAGGGGCAGATCCTGGTTCTGGATGAGGCCCATAACATCGAGGACTGTGCCAGGGAGAGCGCCAGTTACACTCTGGACCAGCGCAGTCTGAACGCGTGCCGAGAGGAGCTGGAGTCTATGATCAGTGTGAAAATCAGACCGAGTGAACACGAACTCCTCAGGAACTTCTGCTACAGCCTCATCAAGTAATGGCCACCCCTGATTTAGATAGATCACCGTTCCTCTAGTGTGTGACCTTTTTTATCAAATTCAAATGAACAAGCTGTGGCATTAAGAATCCTTGACACTTCCTAAACCATGTGATCAGAGTCAGTGCAGTAAATGTGTCCTGTTTGTTAAAACTTTTGTCTCTGTGCAGTTGGATCCAGCAGAGTCAGGGTCTGATGAGTGAACGTGGGTTTGAGAACGCCTCTAAAGTCTGGAACGGCAGAGAAGTGGTCGCCATCTTCAGGACTTTAGGAATCACCCCAGACACCGTCTCACTGCTCAAGGTCCTGCTCCTCTTTGAAATAATCTCACTCACTACTCATTTTACTCTTGTCCACTATAGTTTGTGTCTGTAAGTGTTGTGTTTTGATAATTCTTGTAGGAGAACCTGGCTGCGGTGATGGAGAGGGAGGAGAAGGTGAAGGAGGAGATGGTGGAGCTGCCCACGATCAGCTCTGCCTCGTCCACTGTCCTCAAGAGTCTGTTCATGGTGCTGGATTATCTGTACAGAAGAGACTGCAGGTCAGAGACACCACAGGACACATCTTTAAAGTTCCTGTCAGCTAAAGAGGAATTTATACCTGATTTAAAGATGTCATAATATTTCATTTTAGTCCAGGAGTGTCAAACTCATTTTGGTCCGGGGGCCGTATCCAACCTACTTTGATCCCAAAGGGGCCGGATCAGAAAACTGCATATATATACTCCAAAAATAACAATACGTTCAAATATTTATGCAGAACAGAAATCTTTTTTAATTGATGAACTCTTTATTTTACAAAATATTATAATATTATGAACAACCTGAAACTTTAAGAAAAATGTAATTTCAACACAATGTTTTAACATGAACTTGTATGTAAATAGGAATAAGTCAATTTTTGTTGTAAAATCCTGCACTCGGCTCCACTTTTCTCATGTTGGACATTTTTCTGATGAGGGTGTCACGGTCAACAGTCAAAACGATCGTCCTTTAAGAGCGTTTGGAAAGAGACAAGTCTTCATTTGTGCTGCTCTGGTGGGAGGGGCCACGTACAGAGACGCTGGAGACGCTGCTGTGATAAACACCACAGAAAATTAACAAGATTTTAATAGAAAATATAATTACAATATTTTAGTAGAAAATCAACTGAGGGCCAGATTAAAGGTCTTGGAGGGCCAGATCTGGCCCCTGGGCCGTATGATTGACATCCCTGGTTTAGTGGAATGATTAATGTGATTTATGATGTTCGAATAATAATACATTTTTAACTGATCTGAATTTAGAAAGTTGATCTAAGTCTGTGTTGTTTTGAACAATCTACTTTATTTGTCCCAAAATGGAAAATTTCAAATATTACAAATAGAGGTGATCAGAATTACTGAAATTAGTTTTGAAGATATTAAAAATTGTAATTTCATGTACAGTATATAATTTATAATCATGAAATGCTGCAAAAATAGATTGAAATGACCCACAGTCAAAGATGTAGTCAAAGTAAATCTAGTATCAAACTATACTCTTTTTTGGACTATAAGGCTCAATATCAATCATGTTGAATTCTCTCGTCTATTTTCATACATGAATTGCACTAGATTATAAGGAGCATTAAGAAAAACAAACGGACCACACTTGAGTCTGATCCTTAGTCCAGACTCCACGATCCATCGGCAGATCGTGGTGTAATTCGCCCGGCGTTGTCTCTCTGTCTTGGTGAATGTGGATTATAAATGTGAATGTGGGTGGATCATTTAAGTGAGGCTCCTGACTGCGGTAGCCTTAATGCTCAGTCAGTCAATCAAGCGGTGCGTCTTCATAGTTTAACAAAGTCATACTAAAACATTTTGATTTTTGAACAACCAGAATTAATACATGAGGTGCTCCAGATTATAAAACACACTGTAGATTTTTGAGAAAATTAAAGGATTTAAAGTGCGCCTTATAGTCCGAAAAATACGGTAAGTATCAATACTGAAAAATATAAAAATGTATTATCTTTAGTAGAACTTCAAGACCACATGGTTACAGAAGATAATGTTATATTGTGTTGAAAATTACAGTCTGTTATTGTCATTGTGGTATTAAAATCTGTCTGTTGCTTAGTATCAAAATAGTTTAAATGTTTAGTGTAGACAGCGCTGTATAAAACTTGTCAAAACTATTGAAATTAAAATCTTAAGTATTTCTAAGTCCTACATACATTTCATTATAGACTAATTCTCTTTCTCTGTGTACTCCAGTTTTGCAGACGATTACCGCGTGGCCTTACAGAGGAGCTACACTTGGACAAACCAGGCTCCTCCTGACGTCCCCGACGGACACGGCTTCATCGTGCGGAGACACAGACACAGAAACACCAGAGTCAAGGTGGAGGTGCTGAGCGTGAGCTTCTGGTGCCTCAACCCGGCCGTGGTGAGTGAACCCCCAGTGAACCCAAGACACCGTAGACCTCGTGCTTAAAAAGATAGAATAAAACAGTTTGGATAGAGACGGGTTTAGAGTATTTCACGTGTTTACTATTCCCAATAAAAAACAAAGCATCTGTAACAGTTAAAACACCAATAATCACCGTCAATCAAATAATACTGCACTGACTTTATACAGCAGCTTTCAAGACACTCGAGATGGTTTACAGAGTTATTCATTTTCTACACACTCACTGGTGGTAAGATGCTGTAATGTTTTACTCGGTACAAATGTGAGTAACGCGCGTCACAGTGCTTTTTTAACCTGGATTGAAGTGGTGGGTTTTTCTTCACACATATTCGCTAAAATCACGGCGATATCAGCAGCGGTGAAACGCCGGTGGTGCGCCCCTGTAGACCGTCAGGTGACCGCGGGCAAAAGGACCGGCGCAGAACTCCACGCTCCACAGGGGCTAAACGCAGCTGACGCCCGATCGCGCGCTTCCAAGTTCTAGTCCAAGATTAGTCCTGGTTTAGTCCTGGTTTAGTCCTGGTTTAGACCTGGTTTAGACCTGGTTTAGCCCTGGTTTAGTCCTGGTTTAGACCTGGTTTAGTCCTGGTTTAGACCTGGTTCAGCTCTGGTTTAGTCCTGGTTTAGACCTGGTTCAGTTCTGGTTTAGTCCTGGTTTAGACCTGGTTTAGACCTGGTTTAGTCCTGGTTTAGACCTAGTTTAGTCCTGGTTCAGTCCTGGTTCAGTCTGGTTCACTCTGGTTTAGTCCTGGTTTAGACCTAGTTTAGACCTAGTTTAGTCCTGGTTCAGTCCTGGTTCAGTCCTTGTTTAGTTCTGGTTTAGTTCTGGTTTAGACCTGGTTTAGACCTGGTTTAGACCTGGTTTAGTCCTGGTTTAGACCTAGTTTAGTCCTGGTTCAGTCCTGGTTCAGTCCTGGTTTAGTTCTGTTTTATTCCTGGTTCAGTCCTTGTTCAGCTCTGGTTTAGTTCTGGTTTAGACCTGGTTTAGACCTGGTTTAGACCTGGTTCAGCCCTGGTTCAGTCCTGGTTCAGTCCTGGTTTAGTTCTGTTTTATTCCTGGTTCAGTCCGGGTTCAGCTCTGGTTCAGTTTGGATCCTATTTTCTGAAATCTACGCGCAAATAAGGTGCAAAAAATGTGTGGCCGCCCACCGGACACTGTCACCTTTTTTCCCCTGAGGAGTTTACAGGTCTGTGCTATGGTAGCCACAGTTGCCCTGGGGCAGGCTGACACCGTCATGGGGCGACAGTGGCTCAGTTTGTGCGAGCGTTTGTCCACTGATCTAAAGGTTGGCGGTTCGAATCGTACTCTCGACATAAACGTCATTGGTTGAGCGGGCTGATCCACTGACCCACAGGTTGGCGGTGCGGTTCCAGCTCCCACAGATGAATGCTGCTGTTGTGTCCTTGGGCAAGACATTTAATCCACCTGGCCCCCAGTGTCAGCGTTCACTGGTGTGTGGAAGTGTGTGTGAATGGACGGGTGGCTTCCTTGTTGTAAAGCTCTTTGAGTGCCTTGAAGGAGTAAAAGCGCTATAGAAAAATGTGACCAACTATCATCAGCCCCAACCCCCACAAACCACATTCATACCAAGTGTTTGCTTAAGGACACAACAACAGTTTTTGCCCCTGTGACACCTAATGTTTCTAGTGATCCAAGTACTAACTAAAGCTTCTGAGATCTGATGAGCTCAGGCTTTGACAAGGAGATTTGACCAGCTACACCGTCCGCTTTGTACTGTCTACAGGGTTCACACGGTCATGGAAATTCTGGAAAAGTCATGGAAATTGAAAATGTTCTTTTCCAAGCCTGGAAAAGTCACGGAATTTTATTATCTCTTTCACGCAACTCCAGTGTTCTGTTAAGTTCTCATGAGACTATTCTGATGATGTGTGAACGTCCTGCACCTTTTGTTTAAAAGAGACGACAGTAAATGCGCTGACAGGATTTTAAATGTTCAAAAACTATAATCCCAAACTGTAAGGTGAGTGGAAAGGGTTAACATTTCATATTTAGCCCTGAAAGTCGGATCAATTTTACTCATGTAGGTGCTGTAAAGTTATGGAAAATTCACTTTAGATCATGAAAAAGTCATGGAAAAGATTAGAAATTTTGTCAGTGTGAAAAGAGTGAGAACCCTGTGTCTGCATCTAATTATAAAGTGTTTTGCTGTCAGATAATCAGGAAAAGTGTTGTAGTTGGGAAGAGCTAGTTGTAGGTAGTGTTACCGTGGTGTCAAAACTTCGGTCTGGAAGTTGTGAAAAGTGCTTCTAAACTCATCGCAGTAAATAATTAGGATGTTCTGGATGGATAAGGTTAGTGAGGAAGAACTTTTGACGACTGCAAACTGTTTAAAAAGATCTAGTTCTGTTTTTCATGTTTTTAAGAGATTTAAAAGTGAATACGGCTACTTTAACTTTACGTTCTCGTTCATAAAGTTTGATTTGAAGCTGGTCACAGACTAGAGGAATGATCTATCAAACGCTGTGAAATGAAAGTGTCATATATGTTTCTGTGTTTTGTCCCAGGCCTTCTCTGACCTGAGCGGCCGAGTCCACAGTATCGTCCTCACCTCCGGCACTCTGTCTCCGATGGGCTCCTTCTCCTCTGAGCTCGGAGTCAACTTCACCATCCAGCTGGAGGCCAACCACGTCATCAACAAATCACAGGTAGAACAACCACGTCATCAACAAATCACAGGTAAAACAACCACGTTATCAACAAATCACAGGTAAAACAACCACGTCATCAACAAATCACAGGTAAAACAACCGCGTCATCAACAAATCACAGGTAAAACAACCGCGTCATCAACAAATCACAGGTAAAACAACCGCGTCATCAACAAATCACAGGTAAAACAACCGCGTCATCAACAAATCACAGGTAAAACAACCGCGTCATCAACAAATCACAGGTAAAACAACCGCGTCATCAAACAAATCACAGGTATCAAAAATCAAGGTAAAACAACCGCGTCATCAACAAATCACAGGTAAAAACAACCGCGTCATCAACAAATCACAGGTAAAACAACCACGTCATCAACAAATCACAGTAAAACAACCGCGTCATCACAAATCACAAGGTAAAACAACCGCGTCATCAACAAATCACAGGTAGAACAACCGCGTCATCAACAAATCACAGGTAAAACAACCGCGTCATCAACAAATCACAGGTAAAACAACCGCGTCATCAACAAATCACAAGTAAAACAACCACGTCATCAACAAATCACAGGTAAAACAACCACGTCATCAACAAATCACAGGTAAAAACAACCGTCATCAACAAATCACAGGTAAAACAACCGCGTCATCAACAAATCACAGGTAAAACAACCGCGTCATCAACAAATCACAGGTAAAACAACCGCGTCATCAACAAATCACAGGTAAAACAACAACGCGTCATCAACAAATCACAGGTCAAACGTCATCAACAAATCACAGGTAAAACAACCGCGTCATCAACAAATCACAGTAAACAACCACGTCATCAACAAATCACAGGTAAAACAACCACGTCATCAACAAATCACAGGTAAAACAACCACGTCAACAAATCACAGTAAAACAATCAACAAATCACAGGTAAAACAACCACGTTATCAACAAATCACAGGTAAACAACCACGTTATCAACAAATCACAGGTAGAACAACCACGTCATCAACAAATCACAGGTAGAACAACCACGTCATCAACAAATCACAGTAAAACAACCACGTCATCAACAAATCAACAGTAAACAACCACGTCATCAACAAATCACAGGTATCACAACAACGGTCAACCGCGTCATCAACAAATCACAGGTAAAACAACCGCGTCATCAACAAATCACAGGTAAAACAACCGCGTCATCAACAAATCACAGGTAAACAAACCGCGTCATCAACAAATCACAGGTAAAACAACCGCGTCATCAACAAATCACAGGTAAAACAACCGCGTCATCAACAAATCACAGGTAAAACAACCGCGTCATCAACAAATCACAGGTAAAACAACCACGTCATCAACAATCACAGGTAAAACAACCGCGTCATCAACAAATCACAGGTAAAACAACCGCGTCATCAACAAATCACAGGTAAAACAACCGCGTCATCAACAAATCACAGGTAGAACAACCACGTCATCAACAAATCACAGGTAGAACAACCACGTCATCAACAAATCACAGGTAAAACAACCACGTCATCAACAAATCACAGGTAAAACAAGCACGTTATCAACAAATCACAGGTAAAACAAGCACGTCATCAACAAATCACAGGTAAAACAAGCACGTTATCAACAAATCACAGGTAAAACAACCACGTTATCAACAAATCACAGGTAAAACAAGCACGTTATCAACAAATCACAGTTAAAACAACCGCGTCATCAACAAATGACAGGTAAAACAACCGCGTCATCAACAAATCACAGGTAAAACAACCGCGTCATCAACAAATCACAGGTAAAACAACAAATCATCAACAAATCACAGGTAAAACAACCGCGTCATCAACAAATCACAGGTAAAACAAGCACGTCATCAACAAATCACAGGTAAAACAACCGCGTCATCAACAAATCACAGGTAAAACAGCTCAAGGTAAAACAACGTCATCAACAAATCACAAGTAAAACAACCACGTCATCAACAAATCACAGGTAAAACAACCACGTCATCAACAAATCACAGGTAAAACAACCGCGTCATCAACAAATCACAGGTAAAACAAGCACGTCATCAACAAATCACAGGTAAAACAACCACGTTATCAACAAATCACAGGTAAAACAAGCACGTCATCAACAAATCACAGGTAAAACAACCGCGTCATCAACAAATCACAGGTAAAACAAGCACGTCATCAACAAATCACAGGTAAAACAAGCACGTCATCAACAAATCACAGGTAAAACAACCACGTTATCAACAAATCACAGGTAAAACAAGCACGTCATCAACAAATCACAGTAAAACAACCGCGTCATCAACAAATCACAGGTAAAACAACCGTCATCAACAAATCACAGGTAAAACAAGCACGTTATCAACAAATCACAGTAAAACAACCACGTCATCAACAAATCACAGGTTAAAACAACCGGTCATCAACAAATCACAGGTAAAACAACCACGTATCAACAAATCACAGGTAAAACAACCGCGTCATCAACAAATCACAGTAAAACAAGCACGTTATCAACAAATCACAGGTAAAACAACCACGTCATCAACAAATCACAGGTAGAACAACCGCGTCATCAACAAATCACAGGTAAAACAACCGTCACAACAAATCACAGGTAAAACAACCGCGTCATCAACAAATCACAGGTAAAACAACCGCGTCATCAACAAAATCACAGGTAAAACAACCGCGTCATCAAACAAATCACAGGTAAAACAACCGCGTCATCAACAAATCACAGGTAGAACAACCACGGTCATCAACAAATCACAGGTAAACAACCACGTCATCAACAAATCACAGGTAAAACAACCACGTATCAACAAATCACAGTTAAAACAACCGCGTCATCAACAAAATCACAGGTAGAACAACACGTCATCAAACAAATCACAGTAGAACAACCACGTCATCAACAAATCACAGGTAGAACAACCACGTCATCAACAAATCACAGGTAAAACAACCACGTTATCAACAAATCACAGTTAAAACAACCGCGTCATCAACAAATCACCGGTAAAACAACCGCGTCATCAACAAATCACAGGTAAAACAACCACGTCATCAACAAATCACAGGTAAAACAAGCACGTTCATCAACAAATCACAGGTAAAACAACCACGTCATCAACAAATCACAGGTTAAAAACAACCACGTCATCAACAAATCATCACAGTAAAACAAGCACGTCATCAACAAATCACAGGTAAAACAACCGTCATCAACAATCACAGCAAAGGTAAACAACATCAACAAATCACAGTTAAAACAACCGCGTCATCAACAAATCACAGGTAAAACAAGCACGTCATCAACAAATCACAGGTAAAACAACCGCGTCATCAACAAATCACAGGTAAAACAAGCACGTTATCAACAAATCACAGGTAAAACAACCACGTCATCAACAAATCACAGGTAAAACAACCGCGTCATCAACAAATCACAGGTAAAACAAGCACGTTATCAACAAATCACAGGTAAAACAACCACGTCATCAACAAATCACAGGTAGAACAACCGCGTCATCAACAAATGACAGGTAAAACAACCGCGTCATCAACAAATCACAGGTAAAACAACCGCGTCATCAACAAATCACAGGTAAAACAACCGCGTCATCATCAACAAAATCACAGGTAAAACAACCGCGTCATCAACAAATCACAGGTAGAAACAACCACGTCATCAACAAATCACAGGTAGAACAACCACGTCATCAACAAATCACAGGTAAAACAAGCACGTTATCAACAAATCACAGGTAAAACAACCACGTCATCAACAAATCACAGGTAAAACAACCGCGTCATCAACAAATCACAGGTAAAACAACCACGTCATCAACAAATCACAGGTAAAACAACCGCGTCGTCAAAAAAGTAGTTGAGTGCACCTAACTGTATTATTGCTGTAAAAACATCTTATTAATTGATTGTTGTTTAGTGGACTGTTTGTCTCTGTCTGTCTCTGGTTGCAGGTGTGGGTGGGCACGGTGGGCGCTGGGCCTCAGGGCAGGAAACTCTACGCCACGTTCCAGCACACAGAGACTTTTGCCTTCCAGGACGAGGTGGGAGAGCTGCTACTGCACGTGTGCAGAGCTGTGTCCAAAGGAGTGCTCTGCTTCCTGCCCTCTTATAAGGTACACACATTCACATAATATATATGAACTCTTTATACATAATACCAATAATACCAATCCTGATATTACCATAAAAATAAAAAATGTGGTTGTCCCGATCACGTGATCTGAAATCTGCGCTGATCACGTGACTGCGGACTCGATCCAGACTCAGAACAGGTATCGGATAAATAACATACGTATATAACACACATGACACAGAAGTTTTTCTGAGGTGTGGGATTTGCTCAGGGACGTCCAGTCAGCGCGACTGTCTGTCCCAGCGCCTGTTGTACTAGAGGAGCACTTACTCTGGGACTTTTGGGCCGTGTCGTGCTCGGGCGCTGTTACCTGTGGTTCTGTGGTCTGTGTTCACACCTGTGCAGCCGATGGCGTCGTCACACGGCGCTGTTTGTTGCAAACAAAACAAACAATGCTGTTGCGCAGCAGAGCTGGTGCTATTGGCGTTGAGGGTTCGTCCAACAGCCTGGAGCGTCTATTGAGCCGTGAGACCGATGTTGCGGTGCACGTTCTGCTGTGGGTTTGTGGATGTGGCCAGGGGGGAGAGGCTGTGTGTCATCTTGTTTTTATTTGGTAAGATTTTGTATTATTTGGATTTCATACACGAGTCTAAATGTTTCAAATATAATGCACATGATTTCATATAATATCAAATATACAAAGTGTAGATTGTGCAGAGTCGAGTCTCAGGTCTGATCTGGTTCTGGTCTGGTTCCTGTTTTGTCCAGTTCATTAAGTTTACTAAGTTACACATTCCAAGACCAGACTGTGAAAAGTCAAGATTTTCAACAATGATGATGAATGGTTAGAAAAGTTATTTAAAAAAATTTAAGTTTTGGACATTTGATTTTTCACACTAAGTTCAGTCCAAATACGACACATGAAATCAACACAATCTGATCCCACACACATCCTGGATCTTATTCTTTGCTCTTAGTTCATTTTATAATGTTTTATTGAAGTATCGGATCGGGACTCGATATCGGCAGATACTCAAAATCAAAGGACTCAGACTCGGGGGCAAATAAATGTGATCAGGACATCCCTAATAAAAAAAAATACACTCTTTGTTTAGACAATAGAATGTGATTTTCCACATTAAATGGTAAAACTTTCTTTTCTATTCCCATGTGGCCTTATATCTGTGTAATCCCTCAGTGATCCAGGTCTAAACCAGGTCTCAACCAGGTCTCAACCAGGTCTCAACCAGGTCTCAACCAGGTCTCAACCAGGTCTAAACTGTTTTTTGTTTTTTTTCCTAGATACCTGCACAAGTAGTTGTAGTTTGGATTAGTATCTGATTTTCAGCACTTTTGACAGCCCAAGTGTAAGTGCTTTTATTGGATTAAACCTGCAGGACTAAACCTCAGGGACTAAAACGACCAGCTAGAACTAAACCAAGACTGAAGAAGTGCCAAAACAGAAGAAAAACAGAAAAAAACAGCAAAACAGCAGGAGGAACCCTGGGATTAAACCAGGACAAAACCAGGGACTAAACATGTCCAGCAATAACTAAACTCTAATGACCGGCCACTTGGAGGCGCTAGAGACCACACATTCTGACCCACCTCAACGCATTCCATTAACACTACTTTTCATCAATGTGCTCGTAGTAGTAGTAGTAGTAGTAGTAGTAGTAGTAGTAATTGCAGTATTATAGGTAGACGACATTTTATGCATAATATATTGACTTTATTAAACAGAAATTAATCACAAATAGAGAAAAAATGAACGTGACACTACACAGGCTTCACAAATCTACAGTTTATTCCATCTAATTTTGATCACCTCAGTACCAGCATTTTAAAAAATAAATCTAAAATAAATCTTGCAAAAATGAATCTTTTAAAGCTGAAATAATGTCAAAATTACAGAGAGTTAAATAATAGAGGTGGGATGAGATACAATTTCCACAAGACGAGACGAGACACGAGACTTTATAATAAGTAAATTGTCCAATCCAGTTCCCAATTTTGGCCTCAGCATTCTTTATTTACTTCATTTCATATTTTTGTGGAAATTTTAGCAGGTTTTTGGGACTACAGCTTCTCAAAAATGCAACTCACCAGTGCTTAACTCCATTTTTTCCCCAAATCTAAACGTAAAAACATGGAAAATTATTTTCAGCATGTTTTCACAGTCTCCTGGCAATTTTGTCTCAAGAGATCTTGTCCCGTCCTTAATAAATTGTTAATTGTACAAACTAGAGCTGAAGTATTTGGGAAAAATATCTGACTGACGATAAAGCTGTGCAATTAATCGAATCTGGATCGCGATTTTGAAGTTTATTTTGGGATTTTTTAGAATATAAATAAGTATGTTTATTTTATTTTTCAATATAGAGATTGTAGAATCAGCTCGATTTATTGTTTATTTTGGATACATTTATTATTTTAATTTTTAATTTATTTAATTTGTTTGAGCAAGGTAAAACAAAATAAACAACACTAACAAAAAACAAAACAAGGATATGTACATGGACATTTTTTCAACCTGGTGCTCAAAAGGGACTAGAATGAAGTTTAAAAAAATAAACTTATAATGTCCTACCCCAATTGTTTTACATAATCGAATGGTTGACACTTTTTTTTTTCTTTGAACGTGAAATAAGGCATAGAAAAACATAAAACAAAGTATATTTTATGAATTTTATGTTTCAGGTTCATATTTGTAGCCTATATTTATTTTCAGTTTGGAAGTTTTGCATAAATGATCAATAATAAAGTCTTGAATAAATGCACCGTGTAAGTAAAAAATAATCGTTTGAATAATCGTGATTTAAATATTGACAAAAATAAATAATTGTGATAATGATTCATGTTTTAATACAATTCTGTTTTATTTCACGCATTTATTTATTTATTTACAAAACATGCAGAAACTATCTTAGCTTATAAAAGATAAGTTTTGATATCAAAGTTCACATTTTAAACACGTCCAGAAGAATTGGCAAAAAGACTAAACTCTGAACTGAAAAACTGATACAAGAATCACATTTCAGAGCATTTTGTGCAGATCTAAACTACAGGATCAGCAGCTTTTATCGAGAGTAAAACAGTAGATTTTGTTGTTTTTGAAGTACTTTAATATTACATTACATTAAAATTTCTGTTGCGATTCATCTTTAACCCCTAGAAACTGCTCCTTATTCATAGTTAAAAGAAACATTTTCCATTTTGAGCCATTTGGGGGCGCTACAGACCACGACATTTGACCCTCTCCTGGTTTTTCCAACACATTTCATCACCTTCAGTCTCTCCACAAACGAGAAGCCTCCACGCCGAACCATCTGCCACCGAGAACGGACTCATGCATTTTTAAAACCCTCCTCACTACTGCCACTTGTCCAGTTTAAGTCCGGGTCTGGTCCAGGTTCAGTGTCGCCACGATACTGAAGAACAGACTCGATACTCGATACTGATTCTGATGCCACGATGATAAAAACAATCTTTATTTAGACGACAGAATGTGATTTTTAACATTAAATGGTTCTACTTTTCTTCTCTATTTCCATGCGTCCTTTATATCTGTGTGATCCAGGTCTAAACCAGGTCTAAACCAGGTCTAAACCAGGTCTAAACCAGGTCTAAACTAGGTCTAAACTAGGTCTAAACTAGGTCTAAACCAGGTCTAAACCAGGTCTAAACCAGGTCTAAACCTAGGTCTAAACCAGGTCTAAACTAAACCAGGTCTAAACTAGGTCTAAACCAGGTCTAAACCAGGTCTAAACTAGGTCTAAACTAGGTCTAAACTAGGTCTAAACCAGGTCTAAACTAGGTCTAAACCAGGTCTAGGTCTAAACTAGGTCTAAACTAGGTCTAAACTAGGTCTAAACTAGGTCTAAACCAGGTCTAAACTAGGTCTAAACTAGGTCTAAACTAGGTCTAAACTAAACTAGGTCTAAACTAGGTCTAAACCAGGTCTAAACCAGGTCTAAACCAGGTCTAAACTAGGTCTAAACCAGGTCTAAACTAGGTCTAAACCAGGTCTAAACCAGGTCTAAACTAGGTCTAAACTAGGTCTAAACTAGGTCTAAACTAGGTCTAAACTAGGTCTAAACTAGGTCTAAACCAGGTCTAAACTAAACTAGGTCTAAATCTAGGTCTAAACCAGGTCTAAACCAGGTCTAAACTAAACCAGGTCTAAACCAGGTCTAAACTAGGTCTAAACTAGGTCTAAACCAGGTCTAATCCAGGTCTAAACTAGGTCTAAACCAGGTCTAATCCAGGTCTAAACTAGGTCTAAACGAGGTCTAAACCAAGTCTAAACCAGGTCCATGGGCATATATTTGTCTCTGGGCTCCAGATCTAAAGACATTCAGGAAAGGTTCTGCTGTCATGTAAATGGGATTTTTTTTAGTATCGATACCTGTGAAAATTGAGGATCTTTTGATAGTTTTGCAAGAATTGGTATCCATCCATCCATCCATCCATCCATTTTGTTCTTCTTATCCGGGGCTGGGTTGCAGGGACAGGGACTCCCAGACTTCACCCCAGACACCAGAATTAGTATCTGATTTTCAATATTTTTGACAGACTTAGTCCTGGTTGAGTCCCCCTCATGTTCTGGTTGAGTTCTTGTTTAGTCCTGTTTAGGTTAGTCCTGGTTCAGTCCTGGTTCAGTCCTGGTTTAGTCCTGTCTTAGCCCTTCTTTAGTCCTGGCTTAACCGTTTTAACCGTGGTTTAGTCTTGGTTTAGTCTTGGTTTAGTCTTGGTTTACTCTTGGTTTACTCTTGGCTTAGTCCCGGCTTAGTCTTGCTTTAGTCCCGCTTTAGTCCCGTTTTAGTCCTGCTTTAGTCCTGCTTTAGTCCTGCGTTAGTCCTGTGTTAGTCCCGCTTTAGTCCCGCTTTAATCCTGTTTTAGTCCTGCTTTAGTCCTGGCTTTAGTCCTGCTTTAGTCCTGGCTTTAGTCCCACTTTAGTCCTGGTATAGTCCTGGTATAGTCCTGCTTTAATCCTGGTATAGTCCTGCTTTAGTCCTGGCTTTAGTCCTGCTTTAGTCC